TTTACTGTAAATGTGGAGATTTGGATGCTGCTTGTAGTATTTTTGACCAAATGCCTCGTAAAAATGTTGTTTCCTGGAACACTCTGATTTCGGGGTATGCTTTTAATGGGAGAGGTGAACTTGGGATCGACTTTTTTGAGAAGATGATGAACAAAGGTGAGGGACCAAATGATGCAACTTTTGTGGGGGTTTTAACATGTTGTGCCCATGCAGGCTTGGTGGGAAAAGCAAAGGAATTGTTTGCTTCAATGGTTGTAAGTCACCAGCTTGAGCCAAAACTAGGGCATTATGGATGTATGGTTGATGTTCTTGGGCGCAGTGGACGGCTGAAGGAGACTCATGACTTGATTAAGAGCATGCCTATGAAGCCAAATGCTGCCTTATGGGGTGCATTGCTTGGTGCTTGCTCCACTCACGGCGAGGTAGAGCTCGCGGAACTTGCAGCTAAAGAGCTTATCAATCTCGAACCACGGAATTCGGGGAATTATGTGCTGCTGTCGAATATTTATGCAGAAGAAGGCAGGTGGGATGAAGTTGAGAAAGTCAGAGATTTGATGAGGGAAAACTGCATCAAAAAAGCACCAGGGCAGAGTGCAATTGGATAGCCATGAAATTTAAGTTACACTGAGGCTGACTGCTTCAGGCTTTGTATCTTAGGTCTCATCCAGCCTCTATTTTGATCATATTCACAGACAAAATATTTAGTTGTTCAGCAAGATCGGAGAAATACTATAAGTTTTCGGAATAATAATTTGTCGGAAAATAACAAAAACTCAAGCCAAACATAACAAGTATCATTTATATTTGCTGTCTTCAACACACGATTGTTCCCTTTAGAAATCTACACTACATATACATTATACAAGCATTTTACAAAATTTCATGAGAAATAGATGCCCAGGGAACAACCTCTCTCCAACTTACATATTGTTAGCTGATCCTCGTCTGCATACCATACAGTCCACTCTACAATGGCGATCGAGTTTATCTCAATCTTCAATCTTCGATGATGTTGATGGTAAACTTTGATAGCATCTCTGGAACACCTGATATAACAGGTCCATACGTCTACACAATACAACAATCAAGAACAGTAAACAGTAGAATGATTCAATCTCCATCAAACAGATCACAGATATAAACACTCATAAATATGCATTTACCGCACCATTTTCAAGCTCATTACCTCCTGATTTTTATTGATCTGGCACAATGGAATAGCAAGCAATTTTAGGTTTTTCGGAGCAACGAACTTCCGACAGTCTGGCAGCCTCACAATAAACAGTTTCGTGCACTCCTACAGAACGAGATAAACATAAGAAATCATGCTTCTTGGCCACCCAGTTGAAGCTTTGTTTTAGGAGGGGAACCATATTTTCAGACCCCATTAAGTGATGACATAATATGACAGTTAATCTGTACTTATACATCAATAAGTATGATCAATTGCCACGTCATGTAGTAAGTTGATTGTTAATGAAGACATGTGAGTAGGAGACCAGAGGAGGTACCTTTGGGTTTTTAACTTTCGAGGGTAAGTCCCGACAGAGCGATGTGTCAAAATTATGCCTCCACCATACCCCAAGACATTCCCCTACCTAAACATTCAAACAATTTTTCAATGCACCAAAAAAAAAAAAAAACAAAAAAAAAGAGAAAGATGCATATTCCATGTTCTATATACCTCCCAAGGAATCCCATCAGCATCTGGATTGACACAAAGTTTCCTTGATAGCTTACGTTTCAATCCATCGATCTCTGCGAGTTCGAACAAATCCAAGAGTTTAGTAAAACCTAACAAGAATTTCTTAGTGCTCAGTTCAAGAAAGCTGATGAATCACCTGATTCAGCAGGCCTTAAGCGACCCCCAGGAAGCTTAAACATGCAATTTCTTACTTGCAACAGCAGTATATGAGGATGTTTGAACAACTCAACCTGAGCTCACAACAACCACATCTTTTTCAGCTCACTTATGAAGAAGCCAATATCAAATATTCTGTGACAGAGAAGTCTAAGAAACTACTAGCAATCCAGAAGCAGAATTCATGTAAATTCTTAAACATCAATTTGATGGTTCATAAATCTAATGATTCCCATTATAAATTAATGTCAAATAAATTCAACCTCCTAAATATTTTTATTAAAAAAAAGATAAATAAAGTATTGTTGAATTAGGACAGAGAACCAACCAAAATAACTGCCTCCACACACGTCCTCAATCCATTAGCAGCATAGCTATATTTAAACAGCCACAAAAACAGAAAAGTTTAACACTTTGAAGCAAAAAAAAAAAAGTAGAAATTAGTGAAAATAAAAGAAACCCAATTGAAAATACACACAAAAATAAAAAATTAGTACTTGGACTTCATTCTCTGAAGACGATCAGCTACAGACTCGTCCTTGATAGGAAGGGCTTCCTTGGAGGAAAAGTAATAGGAACTGAGAGGATATATGTCCAGTATACGGCTCTGATCACCGTTGTCATCATCAAGACCGTTACTGTCGTTTGACACGTGTAAGGAACCCCCTTCATCCCCCATCTTCAACTGTCCAAAGCTCAATGATGATCGCAGTCGCAGAGGACACAGAGAGAAAAAAGAGGTGAATAAATAGAAGGGAAAAAGTGACAAGAGAGGAAACGTGGCTTGGCTACCCAGTGGGTGTGTGTCTCTTGAATTCTAAGGTCGACTCTCGAACGTGGCGTTCCAGAGAGACCTTAATATTATCATATACGGCCCCTATTGGCTACTGACCATTGAGCAACGGCGGTGTTTTACTTGTAATGCTTTCATGGGCTTCTTCTTCTACTAGATATACGTGAATTGGTCTGGGCTGTTTTGGGCTGATTTGGTTCCTCTATATGTGACCCATTGTACAAGTAACAAATATCTCTACATATGCAGCTAAAATTAAAATAGCACACGGGCACGACTTGTATCTTAAATGGTTAAAAGTTTTCTCGTCTTTCTACTTGATCTATGGTGTTTGGCTCCCCTCTCTGTCAATATAGCTCTGGTGTTGAAATAAAGATGAAACTATTGTTGGGAGTTTGAGAATGGTAGGAAGAAATAGTATGGAAACACCGATTTTAGTTTTCAGTTTCCAATGTCAAGGTGATGTGGTATATAGGAACACATATCTCTACATATGCACCCATAATTGAAATAAAATAAAAATAGTACAGTACGACTTGTATCTTAAGTGATTAAGAGTTCTTTCGTCTTTCTGCTCGCTCTCTAGTGTTTGATTCCCAATGTAAAAGTAACAAATACTATAAATGTTCAAAAACTAAGAAGGAAGCTAGAGTTAATTATTCCGTAATTTTATATGGTCTGCCTAAAACAAGTTCCTTGGTCCTTTAGATTAGACTTTTCAATTTGATCACCAACTTGCAAGTTGCAAGCAACGTTCATTGAAATTCAAAAAGGATGAAGAAAAAGAAAACTAAAGAAAAGCTCAATTCATCACATCTTGCAAGCTAAGTTGCTTGAAGGACATTTAACCCCTTATCCCCTTTGCTTTGGAAGATGAAAGTTAAGGACATTGCATTTGTTGACCAATCAGAAACTAAGGGCAGCCAGGTAAAAAGCTCTGAGAAGCTAATGACTCCTTTAACAACCAAAATGTGATTGTTGGGATATAGTTATCCTTAAATCTGTCGATCAAGCTAACTACCACCAAGCCAAAATGGTCCTCAACTTTTCCCATTGATTCAAGTTTACTTCTCTAGTGTTCTTGTTCTATTTGGTAAGTGGTTAGGCACAAAAGGATGCATATAATATCAGTTGTTGGACTGTCGATGAATTTCTTTATGCCTGAATGCAAATCTTAATTCAAGCAACTACAATATGCTAGGCTATAAGTTTAGTTAAGTTGGCTAGAGCGGATATGCTCCCTACTATGCACCCGACTTCGAATTCCCCTTCCCGTAGTTTAGATTAGTTTAAAGTAGATTATCGTTTCTATTATTCATTATTATTTTTTAAAAAAAATAAGCTATTTTTCTATGTAATAAGAAGGAAAAAAAAAAGCCAGAATTAATTTTCATGTGGCATGTCTTGAGTGGTAATGCACCAGAAGCATGAAACATCTCTGATATTAATAGGGCCCTTGTTTTTCATATGGTGTGTGTGAGCCTGTTAATCACATTGATATATGATATTGTAGGGGGCAATTGCACACCAATCATAAATACCATATCCTTAACAAGAAAATGATGATAACAGTGATGTTATTTGTTTTATGTTGCTTGTTTTTGTTATTGAAGAGTGAAATTTAAAATTGAGACATTTTCTATCGTTGAAAAGAAAAATATCACTAAATTAAGAGCTCGTTAGTATAAAGATTTGGTTATATGGATCTTATACCGGCCTCATCAGTAAGAGATATACGACCAATAATAATATAGTGAGTAAATGTCATATAAATAGTTTTACTAGAAAATATATATATATGCATACTAAAATATGAAGGAAGGTCTATTTTTGTAAGAAAATTAAAATAGTACTAAAAAATTTCCAATTGATATTCCTATGCTTGGGCTTTAGTGGGCGTCCAACCTCATGTTTCCTTAAAAATAAAAAATATAAAAAAAGTTTTTTTATTTTTATAAAATAAACAAAACTCTTGTTACAACTTACAACAATTAAAATCTACACAATCATTGCCGGCGGCGATATTGAAAGCGAAAACTGGAAAAATAAAAAAGATCGAAAATGATATGTCAACGGTGGACGCTCTAAGGCCTAAGCCTCTGACCAATGATATTCCAAAGTTTTGCAGAAAAATGAGAGGGCTTAGTTGTCTTTTAAGCTACTGGCCAATCAAACTTGATGATTCCTCTACCAAACATTCAGCAAATAATTTTAACCACTACACTACTCAAGAAATATTTATTTATACAAAGCAAAATAACAATATTTAATAAAATAAAAAATACTTCTTAATAAGTATGTAAATGGTTATATCATTTTCTGACCCCCCAAAAAAATACTTTTTTCTTTTTTCTTTTTCTAAAAGACAAGAGACAGAGGGGGAGTCAATTTTCTCAGCTTTCAGTTGTTTAATGCTGAAGGGAAGCCTTGCTTGACATGTAGAAGACCTCTCAAATACACAAAGACCCCTCTTTCTTTCCTCCCCTCTCAATCTGTGATCTGTGGAGGAAAATTCATCAGGATTTTGCTTCTCAGGTCCTGCAATTCATACGTAAGGTCCTCTTCCAGTTTTTCTGTCTGTAATTCTCTATTTCATGATTGATTTGATTGAATATCTGTTTTTATCTTCTGGGTTTTGTTGGGATGTTGATAAAGTTTGGTGCTTTTGCAAAACTTCTTGTTAATCCTTTCAATTTATATGATATGACTGTGTCCTCCAGTATCCGTATTTTAGATTTCTTATTTTGACGATTTATGAGCTGAAATGGGATGTGCCGCAATTTGGTACATACATGCTGCAACTAAGCTGTGGTTTGATTTGAAATTTGTGGAAGGTTGTGCAACACATATATGGATTTGTACATACAGACCTGTAAGAATGAATTTTTTTTAAGACCCAAGAACTAAGGTGTTGTTGACCCAAGTACTTGTTCATTACCATGGAAATTTTGTGTTGTATTGCCACCTCAGCTGGATGATTAGCAAATGGTACTGGGTCCAGCCCCAGTGTTTGGTTCCTTTTTGAAGCTAATGATTGCATAGTATGCTTTAATTAGTTGTGATTAATGGATTTGGATGCTCTGAGAAAGGTGGTTTCTGAATATTTTGAACCATAATAAGGGAGGGCTTGTTTAGCCACAGGCAATTGCAAACTGTAGTGCAAGCTTGTAACTTTTGCATTTGTTGTTTTCTGTTTGATCTGCAAGCAAGTAAAGATGAATGGTTTCTCACTGATCATGAACAAAAAATTTGTGGGATAAATTGGATCTGAAGTGAGATTGTAATTTTGTGAAACAGGTTCATTGAGGTGTGGCGAGTCAGGACTTTTGACAACTCATATTCATCTGCTCTAGCATACATGGATCAAAGTACTCAAACTTCCCTTGATTTACTAGGGCTTACTGTTCTTTGTATATGATAAATGATGCCTATATATTCACTTATTCAGAACTAAAACGGCTAAGTTAACATGATCAGTCTCATAGTTCCACTACTTCCTAACTCTGATACAAGATTTATTGGTGTTGCAGATGCTTCGGCAGAGGGTTTGAGAAATGACCTTGAGCTAGTGAGATCCTCCTCTGAAAAGCAACTTTTGAGACCATCAGCCCGATATTATTCAGTTTTTAAAGGTAGCAATCTGTTTGGACCATTTTTTTGCCAATCCTGTTTTGGACTTTGCAACGTATAAGTGCTTTCGCATTTATCTGTGACAATTATGAATCTTCCTCTCATGGACTATGGAATGTGTTTGTTATCTAGGTAACCCTATGAATCTTCCTTTTTTTGCCGACCCTATTGTCTGTAATTCTTTAAGAAATGACATTTTAAGTTTTCTGTCTTTTTTAATGTATATCTGGTTGCATGTTAAAAGCTTAATCAGCTTGCTTACATCCTATTAGAGGGAAAGGCATTGTCGGTTGATTTGGATTTTCAATGTAATTCACGGCATTCTAGAATTGATGGTTGTGCTCTCAGACTCTGCTGATTTATCATTGGGCTTACATGCAGTTTTTATTTAACAAAAATCATTAATCTGATCCGAAATGCATATAATTTCTATTTTCTGTGCTTAAACAAAATCTTTATAGCAACTGGATCTTTTATACAAACTGTTTATCCAGACAAGTGAGAGGTATTATGGTCATGGTAGGGCAAGCAACAGATGCTGCAGATCCTGAAAAAGGCAGGTATACCCTAATTCGAGATGCAGAGGACTTTTCATCAGGGATGTACGAGAAGCAGCTTCCATGCTTTGGCTGCGGGATAGGATGGTTTTCGTGAGTATCTTTAATACCTTCTTCCTCCTTTATTTCATTATCCCGTCCCTGGTCTCATTCCTATTTCTTGCACTGCAGTTTTCTTTTAGGCTTTGTCTTCCCAGTGATGTGGTACTATGCCACAGTTCTGTATTTTGGAAATTACTATCGCAAGGATCCAAGGGAGCGAGCAGGACTGGCTGCCTCGGCAATTGCTGTATCTCTCTCATCCTATCTAACATTTTTCTTTAGAGCCTTAAATTTTATATTTTCTACTGTGTTTCAGAGAGTTAATCAGCATAATTATCCAATTGTTGCAGGCACTAGCTTGTTCTGTCGTGCTGTTGGTCATAGCATTGTTTCGGATATTCTAGCCTTACTCAACCGGATGTAAAATGTGCTAACATCATCCTTGCAAGCATGAAGAAAGCATAGTTGAATTGGAAGGGACTTTAAGGACACAGATACTAAAACTTTTTTTTCGTCGAAAGGGACGTAAAAGAAAGAAGAAAGAGGTGAAGAGAACCTTCGTACGCTATACTTACTACCAGCTTGGATGATGATGAGCTACAATACCATTTTCATATTGAGTGATTGTGTTTGTAAACATTGTAATTATACAACTTTATAGAGGTATATAGAGCTGTGATCAAGGCATTCCCAGTTCGTGATTTTGGTTCGTGTGTCTTTATCGTTATCTTTAAACGCAGAACTTGACCATTATGGATATTCATATTTCTGAGGTTGCCGCCACCTTAGTTCGTAGTGGTTGAAAAACTGAAACCCCAAAAAAAAAACCATTAACCTCACGATAGGGGTAATTCCCTTCTCTCCTCCTCCAGCTGCTTCTCTGTTTATCTTTGATTTCGAATCTGACATCTTTTCTTATTCTGAATGAAAAAACACTGCTTATGTTTGGGCTTGACGAACGAAGAACACTTGAGCAGGGGCCTCCCAGCTCTTATACACGCCTAATTCAAACCGTTTTCCTCGGCCAACCAACTAGGATTAATAGAATCCTCAACCAAATTGGACTTTCTTTTTCTTTTTATGGTTTGTTTGTTAACCTCAATAATAAAAAAGAATGATTAGGGAGGGACCAACCATAAAGGCCAAGCTGGTATAAATGTGTCCGGAGACAGGTAAGTTAAGAATGGATCTTGTATTATGAGAAAATCATCACAATGTCTGTCTGATTCATATAGAATTGAAGAATTGATGACAATGATATTTCTTCTGAAAACTTTTCAAACAGAAGAAAATATGAGTCCTAGACTTGTAACTCCACGTACAAACTGCATAAATAAATAAAAACTTCGCATACAAAAAAAGGCTACAGCCAACCATCTGCATTTGATTCTGAATTTGAATGAGGTTCCAGCCAACCAGGGCCGGCAAGGCTGCAAAGGAGACACTACACTGATTTCCAGTCATTCCACTTCAAACTGTATTTTAATCCTTGGCCACCAAATGAACATGCTTGTTCTCAACTTTAAATCTGGAGCTTGAATTGATCTGGCACCAAACAAGTAAATATGAATAAAAAATTTATTGTAAAGGTGGAGCCAACGATTAATAGATACCATTTAATTGAAAGTACTAAATAAACATTGGATAGGCAAACCTTGTGATCAAGCATATCACTCAATTTGGCTTCATCATCTGTTATGCCCAATTCTTCAATAGCCTTCAGAACAAGTTTTTTCAAATTCCTCATCTTTAGGACTCCGTCATTCTGCACCAATGCATACAAAAAGCAGATTTTAGTATATATAGAAACAAAACTGTTTTCTACTCTAATAATGGTCTCCGACTCTCCATCCTAAGGAATGGAAAGTGCATCTTTTCTCATGCCATCACGCTCATTTCACTAATGCATGCTATAAAGAAAGAGGATGAGTATTACTTTCTTTTTCTTTCTTTTTTCCTTTTCTAAAGTGGCATAATTCATTGCGCAATTTTACTGGAAAGCAAGAAATGATGTTATTCAGAATACATACCGATTTTAAGGTTGATGTGATCAACTTCTTCCACTTTATTTTCATATTGGATTCATTCTTAGCGGAGCTAGATTCCACCAACTTATCTTTCTCCAACTGACTCTCCTTTCCATTTGCTTCTGTCTTCCCACTCTGAATCACTTCATCTGATGTATTATCCCTAGTCTTCTTCCTTGATTCATCATTCTTGGATGCATCAAGTTTTCTCTTTTTCTCTGACAACAAAGTTCCATTCCCTGCTTCAGAACTGTTTTGCTCTGCATTGACTCTAGATGCATCCTGCAATTTAGTTTCCTCAATTTGTTTATTCTCAGGTGTAGGTTTTGTATCCAGGGCAGATTCTTCCGGCTGCTTAGGCTGTTGCTTTGCAGCGTGGATTGCTCGGGCTCTTGCCCTGTGCTTCTTTCCTTCGGCATGGAGCAGCAGGGTCTGCTCACTAGTAGCTTTAGTATTGCAAAGACTGCAAAAACGCATATCCAGAAAACTATGATCAGATCCCAACCATGGAAAGAAAACTGAATGCAATCTCTGAATACCAGGCTAATAAAATATCATGCATATTTTATTGTGAAGATAGTTGGTAATAGTTGGTAGTACCAATATCACTATGTCAAAGTGTATTGTCTCTTCTCCAACTCTTCCATGTTTCCTATCTACAACAGATGATGCATTTATTCAAAACAAACTAATTTAGCAATTTGCACCATTGCTTTCAATGGGCAGCAGCAGCAATATGAATGCACACAAACATTTAATAAAAATATGCATGCATTTCCAAGGAAATTCATTACATTGGTTAATTTTAGGTCTGAACAAGCATGTGAATAAAAGATTATCATAAAATCAGAACAAGGAAAATAATACCTACAAAACCACGGAAAGTGTTTAGATAACCCAACAGTAATATCAAAATCAGGTTGCTGCTTTGAATCCTTGTTGGGCTTGGCTCCCCCACCATTCAAAGCTTTCCCTTGTCCCTTTGGACCATATTTTTCCTGAAAGCAAAAACAAAGAAATACACTGTATACCAAACTGAAGCTTATAACCGATATAATAACTATTTTTTCCCAACATTAAGTAATAGATATTGGTCCAATGAACATGGAAAATGAAATGAGATATCCATTATATAAATTGTAGCATTGTATTTAGACTGTTAATGCATAACCCAATTCATAAAAATCTCCCAACCAAGCCAATTCGATCAAATTATTAGATAGGAAAACAATAAGAGACTTACTGCCTCAGTAATGCATTGCGTGTGACTCTGAACGCTTTCTTGCCCAAACATCTCTCCGCAATCAATGCATGATAGCTGAAACATAAAAATATTAACAAAGTGAGCAACCCAGAAAATAAGTTAAAGACTAGGACTTTATTAAGGCCTATATTTTCTTGGCAACCAAACAGCGAGTCCCAGGTAATGAGGATCGGGAAAAAGGAGACCTTGCGAGCAGAGCAGGACCTGAAGTGACCCGGCAACTTGGGTTTCTTGAGGTTGTCTCCACAATCCTCGCACTGAAACCACACCATCTCTCTGTTTCAGGAAGAAGAAAGAGAGAGCTCTGTGACCAAATGACCGAAGAGGTGAGCTGGGGTTTTAGGCCATTTTTACAGGAATTAGAATTAGGGTTTTATATTTGTTAAGAGTTTCCTCCCAAAACGACTGCGACCCGTTTCATTTACCTACGCGTTTCGGGGAGCTTCTATAATAAGGAGACTATGTGAGGAGGTTATTTGAGGAGGCCCATCTCACCATCAAAAGGGGTGTGGACCCCCCAATGCACCCCTCCCCATGTCATTTGTTTTTAGTTGTTGATGGTGAGATTTCACTTCCTCAAATAACATCCTCACTCAATCTCCTCATTCTAGCCTTTCCGCGCGTTTCGACCCACAAGTGAAGGAATAACGGAGGCCCAAAAGTTGGAGTAATTTTTGGGTGTTCCGGGTACATCACATAGTTGATGTACCATTCAATAAACGGAGAACATATAGAATATTTCCAATGCAGTCCGGCACATATCATAAAAAGAAATGCAGTAAGTTGGACAATAATTCCACATGTTCTATATTTATTGGAATGTACACCAGTCACGTGGTGTACCCGGAGTCAAACAATATGGTAGAATATTTTCTGATATATTTCATTCTCCGAAAGGAGGTATTTATAATACAAGGTTACAAACCCTAGTATGATTAATCTAAGAAATAAGTGGAATCCTAATTACATAATATCTATACAAAAGGAAATAAATAAAATCCTAATAGAATAAGAAGGAAATATCCTAATAAAATAGGATATCTCGCTAACACTCCCACTCAAGTTGGAGTAAAGACGTCACGCATGCCCAACTTGTCAAGCGAGTTAATAAAGATACTTGTAGAAACAGCTTTCGTAAGAACATCGGCTAACTGATACTCTGAACAGATGAAGGGGAAGGAAACAATCTCCGCATCCAACTTTTCTTTAATGAAATTTCGATCAACCTCCACATGCTTTGTACGGTCATGTTATACAGGGTTATGAGCAATTGCAATCGCAGCCGTATTGTCACAGTATAAATCCATGGGTTTCTTAGGCCCAAAACCAAAGTCTCTCAACAATCTCCTCAACCATAGTAACTCAGATACACCATGGGTCATCCCCCGATACTCGGCCTCAGCACTAGATCGAGATACCACCTTTTGTTTCTTGCTCCTCCACGTAACAAGATTGCCACCAAAAAACATAAAATACCCAGATGTCGAACGCCTATCTGTAGCTGAACTTGCCCAATCAACATATGTGTACCCTTCCACATCTATATGACCATACTTGGAAAACATTAACCCCTTGCCAGGAGTTACTTTGAGATACCTCAAAATACTTGTCACAGCTCTCATATGGTTTTCACTAGGCGAGTGCATAAACTGACTCACTACACTCACTACATACGCAATGTCAGGACGTGTATGAGCTAAATAAATTAATTTTCCCACAAGCCGTTGATATCGCTCCTTATCAGTAGGAACTTGATTAGGATATAACTCCAACTTGTGATTCTGTTCACTTGGAGTATCAATTGGTTTACAATCCAACATTCCAATTTCTGCAAGTAAATCCAACACATACTTCCTTTGGGACAAAAAGATACCATGTTTAGATCTGGCAACTTCAATCCCAAGAAAGTACTTCAAGTCACCTAATGATTTCATCTCAAACTCAGACGCCAGATATTTCTGGAGATTTTGCATTTCTGCCTAATCACGGGTCACCAGAAAGTCGGCTCTTATACCAAGTCAAACAATATGGTAGAATATTTTCTGATATATTTCATTCTCCGAAAGGTCCGAAAGGAGGTATTTATAATACAAGGTTACAAACCCTAGTATGGTTAAACTAGAAAATAAGTGGAATACTAATTACATAATATCTATACAAAATGAAATAAATAAAATCCTAATAGAATAAGAAGGAAATATCATAATAGAATAGGATATCTCGCTAACACCCGGAACATATAAAAATTTATCCAAAAGTTGGGCTCTCTCTTTCTCACATTCAGGTCAAGTGAGTTATCGGAGCAACTAAAGTAAGACGCATTACTTTCTTTTTCATCACTTAACATGATATTTTGACTTGAGTTACCGTCAATTGCCTAAATGCTTGCACACATGAATTCTGAATTGTCAATACTTGTGTTGGGCGGTTATGCATTAACGTTCTAAATTCATATTATGTTAAGTGAATTTACAAATTTACCGTCGATTCCTAACCATAACATTCTTGTAACATTTTCTTATGTCATACCTAAATTTACAAATTTGAATCTTGAGTTATCTTACAATATTCATTGAAGATAGAAAATGCTTCATCAACGTTGGGTTCCAAAATCCCAAAAATAGGTAAAATTTTGTTGTATGATAAAATTCTCTATACCAATAGCATCAAGTAAGGGTTGGTTTCTACCTAGGCCTTGTTTGAAATTGCAATTTGCTAAGTCAAGCCTCAGAGCACTTCCATCGCTGAGGGGGAGCCCTGGCAAGAGGGGGCCCAAACAACCAAAGGCAGCTCTAGTGCAAGAGTTCTAGCCCGGGCAAACAGTGGGCCCCGGCAACTTGGGCAAGCTCACGAGCAAGTTCAGCCCGAACTATTGTTTGGGCAAAATGACACAATACTGACGTCATAATGACGTCAGCAACCAAAAACAATTGAAAAAAAATACCAAAAATTTCTGAATTTCTTTTTATAATAAATACCTAGCCATATTCTTTACTTCCCATACCAAAAACGCTATACAAATTCATCTCCTCATATCTCATGTGAATAGTAATTATTCTTGCCCTAGCTCATAGGGATGGAAACAAAATTGCAAGAGCTGCCACCGTTCATCTAAATAGCAACAGCCATTGCCTCGTCTTTGCCTCGCCTTTACCCGTAGGGTTGGAAGTGCTCTCAAGGCTCAAAACAATGGGGACTTCTCTCAAAGTTTGACTTGTCGGAATATAAAGATAAAGTTAAAGAAAAGAAAAGGGACTGCTAAACGCTAGCTAGCCTAGCCCTTTGGAGAAACTTGGACGGCACTTGGGCTTGGTGGCCAGTGGCTGTCCTTTCTCAATCTGTCTCTTCACTGAGATGAATTTGTCTCCAAGAAACCAGTCCCTTCCTTCCCTACTCCAAAATTTCAATCATACACAAAAGCTTCGTCATCTGTCGACAACACGCACCACAATCCCAGCTCACAGCCTCAGATCAAAGGGATGAGATGCGAACTGTTATTTAATCAGATGGAAAATAAAAAACAACATGCACTTGCTTGCTTATTAAAAAGTTGCTTGCAAGCCATGGCCATGGGATGGGACCTCTCTCTCTCTCTCTGTGTACCCCTTGAAATGTGCAATAAGGACATGCGTGGGTCATGGATATAAGCTAAAGCACTAGGATTCAAATTATAGCTTTTCCCACAATTACTTAGTGCTCTTCAGCTCCTGCTGTGATTTTTTAAGTACGTATACTATTAGTTGTCACGCTTGGCAGCTTTTCCAAGTCAATTTTTCCACTAAAAAAATCTGGCGCTTCATTTACAGTTTGAGAAAAACAAAATAGAAAAATGCAGAAAATTAAGCTCAACGCTCTCATAAAAAGCAGCTTATAGACATTGATGCTTTAACAGAACAGTAGATTGTAAAAAGCATTAGGAAAAGAACAGAGAGGAGGAGGAGTAGGGAGGTCTTTTGACAGAGTGTCACATAAAAAAGATATAATTTTCAATGATTGCAGCCACGCTCCAATCATTCAAACAAAGGGAAGAAGAAGATGCTTCAGTACTACGAGTGTCCTGTGCTTCTGTGTCGTATGAGCTACACGTGCATGGCTCTACCTGCACAGCTTGACTTGCTTGCCTTAGAAATACTTCAATTTCATCCTTTTCTTTCCTTTTTCTTTTTATCAATTTGTTTATTTTAGTTTGATCATGGATTGGCAGAATTTTTGGATAAAAGATTCATGCTTGAAAGTTTTTAAAGAGTTTATATTTTGTCGGTATATTATTGGTTGTTAGCACCAACTCTTTGTTGAGTGATGCACATTACCAAAACAGCTTAAAATATGTGTAATGCATGATTCCTTTTTTATTTTTTATAAATCATAAGTTATAGCATATCCTCATGATTCACATGTATAATTTTCCTTTCTTCCCCTTTATGTATATCTTCATCGATCTCTTATCATTTACCTACATCAACACGTAATTCGTATACACTAAAAAAAGAATTCGTAATATGTCATGTTCGTATTTTCAATTTACCTAATTAGTAGTTGAGACTGACACGTATTACTCTTATTCAATTCAAAATAACAATTTCCTCCCTAATGCATATTTAATTATCAAAAAGACAATCAAAAGGTTTTTGATTGACAATAAATTGTAAAACGTGCATCATTATTTGATTTCAATTTTACAAATGTAAATAGTATCTCTGTCTGCTAAAGGCTATTTGCTTCCCAAGTGTTTTTATTTTATTTTTTATACTCTTTATCTCCAGAACCAAAAGGCTCAAAAAAAACCCAACTCATCAAAAGCTATGCAATGCAAGTAGTAAACAAAACCTAAAAGACCCACCAAAACCACCACCACCCACCTACTTGGTCCCCAACTCACCACCACCGCCACCGCTGCAACCTCCATGCCTCGCCGCCATCCGTCATCGTCCCCGCTTCTCAGTCCCCCGGTGCTCATCATACTCCTGCCCATCATCACCTTCCTCTTCCTCTTCTGCACCATCCCTCCATTTCTGTCCCTCACCTCTCAAATCCTCCGACCCACAATTTCCGTCAAGAAAAGCTGGGACTCCCTCAACGTTTTCCTCGTCGTCTTTGCGATTCTCTGCGGGATCTTCGCCAAGCGAAACGACGACGGATCACCCGCCGAGGAGGATCCTATCCAAAATGCTTCTGTCCCGTTAAGTAATAGTATTGCCGCGAACAACACAACAAACACATCAGAAGCCGAAGTCTTGCTTCCACAACAATGGTTTGGATTTTCAGAGAGGCCACCGGAAACCAGCGGTGGCCGGTTGCGGAGGAGCAGCAGCTCCTACCCAGATCTGAGGCAGCTCGGCCAACAGTCCTCATGGGAATCTGGAGATCACAGCAAGTCTCAGTTTCGCTTCTTCGATGACTTCGAAATCAACAACACTACTTATCATCGTACTCCGCAGCCAGTTTCGCGCCAAAGCCGCTCCCGTGAGTACTCGGGTGTAATTAAGGAGATTCCGGTGGACACTTTCGTACTTCGCTCTTCTCCTCCTCCGCCGCCCCAGTCGCCTGCGCCGCCACCTCCACCACCTCCTCCGCTGCGTCATCAAAATCCGAGAAGGGCGTATGAGACCGTTAGACGTAGAGATCATAAGAAGGAGAAAGTACCCAACACTAACAATGTTATTGTTAATGAGGTTCAACAATTCGAGCAGGTTCGATCTCCGCCACCAACGCCGCCGCCTCCTCCGCCTCCACGTCCGGCAGCGTCGCCATCGCCAATGCGGATTCGGCCGGAGCATAAACGTAGAAAGAGTAACGTGAAGAAGGAGATAGCTATGGTTTGGGCTTCGGTTCTGTCCAACCAGAGAAAGAGGAAGAAGAAGCAAAAGCCCGCCAGTACCATAGACATTTACGATACTGCCACCCACTCTCCGCCAGAACAAGTACGAGAAGGTGGAGGAGAAGGAGAGTATTATTACACAAGACCACCGCCGTCGCAGCCTCCTCCGCCGCCACCTCCGCCCCCGCCACATTCTGTATTTCACAATCTGTTCAAAAAGGGAATGAGCAAAGCCAAAAAAGTTCACTCCGTCTCGAATCCACCAGCTCCACCGCCACCACCTCCACGATCCACATTGCGAAAACAAAAGAGTTGGAGTGCTATTTTCCCGCCGGCGCCATCAACTCCGCCGCCACAACCACCGCAAACACCTTCGCCAAGGAGAGCTTCTGCCGCCAGTGGCAGGCCGCCATTGCCCACGAAGACGAACAGTTATTTATCAGAGGAGAATGTGAACAGCGGCTGCCAGAGCCCGTTAATTCCTGGGGCGCCGCCTCTACCGCCGTTTAAAATGCCGGAGTTGAAGTTTTATGTGCGAGGGGACTTTGTTAATATACAGAGCGCACAGAGCTCCCGTTGTGGATCTCCTGAATTGGAGGACGTTGATGCAACGCCAGGTAAGGAAGAAGAGTCGGAGTCAAAGTCACAGTCAGAGTCACAGAGTAGAGTCAACGTAATGGGCGGTAGAGATGGCGGTGGTAGTGGTGGGCCGTCAGTGTTCTGTCCCAGCCCAGATGTTAATACGAAAGCTGATAACTTCATCGCTAGGCTGAGAGATGAGTGGAGGCTTGAGAAGATGAACTCGATGAGGGAGAAAAAGAAGATGGCCTAATAATCTTCTGCAATGGTTTTCTTTACCATTTTCTACTGGTTTGATTAGTTACTTGATAATGTTGGGAAGGTAATGCACACACATTTACAGTCAATTTTTTACAGATTGATGATATAGAAGAAGGCAAATGGCTCTGACTGTGTTTTTTTGTTCATCTTTTGGAGCACCATTAGCAGAGATAGAGAGAGAGAGTGAGAGAGAGATGTGAATTTGAATTTCTGGGTTTGAATTGTTTGATGATATCAGTGTGTATTATAGCAGAGCAATATAGGTAGTATCTACATATTATAAATTTTTACACAGGCAATGGGTTCTGAGTGTGGCTTTATTTTTTCCTCACATCTTGGAGCTCCTTGTGGAAGTACGCTGCTGAGTGCTGGATTTCATGTATGGATTGGGTTGGGTTGGGTTGGGCTCTAACTGCGTTTTTTGTTCACCACTTAGAGCCCTTGCCCTTGGTTTGTATTGATGTACATACAAATATAATATTGCGTATGAGTTTCCAAGATTTGACCTGATTTTGCTTTTGTATGCAATCTTCTTTAACCCTTCTTATTGCTGCCTATGCTACTACAAGTAGTAAAGAGCGGACAATTATTCTCCAAACTATGAAGCTTTAGTTGACATCATTGCTTTATGTGAAATCCGGAGTTAAGCTTACGAAACCCTAAACCCTAAACTTAACCCATGAAACCGAAATCCGAAACCAATTGCGCACTCGAATAATTGTAAAAGATGAACTAGAGTTGGTTTACCTTCCAACCTGCCCAAATTGTATTGCTTGAAGTGGGTTGTAGTTTAAGATTAAAGTGAAGTTATTTGAACTAACAGAGTACAAGTAGTATGATTGCAATTTACTAAAAGCTTTGATTCAAGAAATGTATACAAAACAAAGCTTGTTGGGCAAAGTAAGAGGACTTTCCAATACGCATTTGAAGTTAAGCTTGCTGATGAAATCATTAGATCAAGAAGCAAAAATTCAAGCAACAAAAACTTTTTCGATATATAATTTTAGCCAAAGTGCATTGAGGACCAAAAAGTAAGACACCATTTTATCCTTTCCTAGCTACCATCAGTGAATCCTTTTTGGCAATTTAATTGATCTGGAAGGCCCCAATGTTCATGTCACGACCCAATTCGAAAATTAAAGACCTGTGGGATATCAGCATAAGGGGAGCTGTGCAGACTATGAGCAACCACACAAACCAAGTCTGGGGAGTGACCTTTCGTCCCGAAAGAATGCCCAGTAGACTGGCTAGTGTGTCGGACGATGTGTCGGACGACAAGAGTATATCGTTATATGACTACTATTGAAGTACAACGAACAAAGAGAATTTGGCTAATGTGTGTTCTTAGCCTCCCAGCTTTAACAAGTAGCTTTTGGAATATGTGTGTTATGGTCATTTGTCCAGTTGAGCCATTCAATTGATCCTTTCCTCCGAAATTGGATATAATTGTATGATGTTAATTTAAGATTGGTTGCTTCTTGTGTCGTGGCTCAATAAATCAAAATAAACCAACAGATTTCTCTCCTCCTTGCCTTTTGATGTTGAAACAGTAAAACCGCACAAGCTTAAAATTCTTGACTTGACACCACCCTCTGGAAACTTCATGACTTCGAATCATGAAATCTTGATAAAGCACGACCACTCATCATCTGATGGCGTTCTCCAAGCATGTGGGAGAAAGAAATTTCTTAAAGCAGAAATACAAGAGCAACATCATCAACATCTATTGTTCCTTAAACTAATGTTACACCATATTTGTGAATGTGATCACAAACACAAACATATGGTTACATTACAACATCTATGTCTGTCAGAGATCAGATTATTATAAACATATATAGAGCACAAACAAAATTAATTCTCTTCAATTATTTAACAACCACCTGTTCAAAACCAAACCAGCATAAACAGAAAAGGAAAAAAAGGGGCAAGTGCTACATTAATACAGAAACTTCGAGGGCAAGTCTCACTTAGACTTTGGAGGAGCCTTGTTCAACAAAAACTCCTTAAGCACATCCATGACCTCCCCGAAATCCGGCTTCACCTGTGTTGGGAGATTGGCAAACCGGCAAGCCATGTCCGGAATTGCCTTCGCGTGATAATCGATCTTAGACTGCGTAAATTTCAGCCCATGAGCGGTGCTAACCACCACCGTCCGATCACCAGCTCCAATAACCCCACTCTTCCTAAGTTTATCCAATGCCGTCAGCGCAACACCAGTGTGAGGACATATAAACATCCCAGTTGAGTCTGCTTGAGCCATGGCGTCCATCAGCTCCTCTTCACTAGCTTCCTCCACAATCCCATCACACTGCTTCAGAGCATACACAGCTCTGTCGATAGAAACAGGGTCCCCAATCTGTATAGCCGAGGCAAAAGTGGTATTCGCCTTCACCGGCTTGAAATCCTTCCACCCTGACTTGTAATACAAGTAAAGCGGGTTCGCATTGGCGGCCTGAGCACAAACAAGGCGTGGAATTCGATCGACCAAGCCCAATTCTTGGCACATTTTGAAGCCTTTGTAAAATGCATAGATATTACCAAGATTGCCACCAGGAACAATGACCCAATCGGGGACTTCCCAATCGAATTGCTGCAGAATCTCAATTGCAGCAGTCTTCTGCCCTTCGATCCTTAAGCTGTTCAACGAATTCGCCAAGTAAATTGGCAATTCGGCTGTGATTTCTCTGATCAGCTTCATGCAACCGTCGAAATCGGTGTCGATGCTCAGCACAAACGCACCGTTTGCAATGGGCTGGACCAATTGCGCCATTGAAATTTTGTTCGCGGGTAAGAATACGATTGAGGGAATACCTGCGGAGGCGCAGTAGGCGGAGAGGGCGGCCGACGTGTCGCCGGTGGAGGCGCAGCCGACTCCAACGACAGGTCGTTTGAGCTTCCTTAGGCGGTTCACTTGGCTGATGAGAACGGTCATGCCCAGGTCCTTGAAGCTTCCGGTGTGGCTGATCCCGCAGTGCTTGACCCAGAGATCGTTCATGCCCAGAAACTGTTTGCCGAAACGCTCGGCCCAGAAGAGGTTAGAGTTGCCCTCGAAGGCCGAAACGATGTCGTCGTCATCGATCTCGGGTAGGACCCACTCCTTCTTGGACCAGACGCCGGAGCCGTAGGGCCACGTGGTCTTGCCCACGCGCGAGTCGAACAGCCGCCGCCAGTACGCGCCGTCGAACTTTCCCAGCGCATCGAGGTCGTGCTGGACGTCGAGGAGGCCGCCTGAGCGGCTGCGGTAGACGATTTCGTCGAGCGAGTAGGACTCCGGCGAGTCGAAGCCCGAGTTGAACGGGACGTACTTAGCCGAGAAGTTGTGAGGCGCGCGGTGGCGCCGAGCCTCATCTCGGATGTTCTCGTCGAAGGCGCGCCGAGATTTTAGAGGCGGGGAGTTATTTGTGGTGGCGGCGGCGGGGGAGGAGGAGGGATCGACTGTGGAAGAGGTGCAGGAGACGGTGAGTGCGGAATTAGGGGGGCGTTTGGATGTGGGATTTTGGTAAAACGCGGTGTGTTTAGGGGTGAGGGAGGATAGGGAGGAGTGGAATAAGGAAGACGAAGCCATGTCCAGGAAAAGAGAGAGTGTGTTGAGAGGAGAGAGGCGGCGCTTATTTTTGGTGGGTTTGGGACTGGGACTGGGACTGGAAGAATGGTGGTGGTCTTAAGAGAGAGTTGTCTTTGGTGGGTCCATTTGTGACACGTGTTCAAATAAGCCACGTTTCTCTTTTGGGTATGAATGTTAAAATGTTTTTACAAAAGAACAAATGAATGGCAAATATACTCTTGGGTAAGTTCATTTGGTAAAAGTCTTTTTTTTTTTTCTTCTACTGTTGTTGTTAGCTCTAAATTCCGTCTAGGTTAATTCAAAAATATATTTCACGTTAAATACAAATAATAGTGGAAAATTAGATATCAAATAATTCTTTTTCAAACATGTGCAAGCATAAAATGAAATTGAACCATTGACCAACTAGTAGTTTGGAGCAATTGCTTCTCGAGGCAATGTCTTGGGTTGGAGTGTTAGCATCATTGTAATGTGTATGAATTTAGTATATTATCGCTTCGCTCAATAGAAAATATCTTTTATAAAAAAACAGGTGATCTTAGTAGACATACAGACTTAGTCAAGTTGGTTAGAGCGAATGTGCTCCTCACTTTGCACCTAGGTTTGAATCTCTCTTAAATTAAAGTAGAATATCGTTTGTATAAAAAATAAAAAAATAAAACCTTAATATTTTGAAAAACAAAAACAAAAAGTAACCTTATTGAAAATGTCAAGCAAAAAATTATAAAACCAACAAAAAACAAAACCCAATAGAAGAAGAAGAAAGGAAAAAAGGGACTGAGTTTTAGATTTCGTTTATTCATATTATTTATCTTGTTTTATTAAAAATTGGACAAGAAGGACATATACAGAATACGATATATATACTCCATAAACACCCAAGAAAAAAATAACCGACAACATAGCCTAAGCCTAGCACAAACAAACACTGTCCGCTAACTCCCTATCTCTCTTTCTCTATTTTTCTAAAGGCCCGTTTGATAAACATTTCAATTTTAGTTTTTAGTTTTTTAGTTTTTTAGTTTTTTTTTATTTTTTTTTTTCTGATTTAGTTACACAACATTTTGATTTCAGCCAATGACAGTTCTAAATGCAACGAACTATGAGATCATCGAGTTCGAACATCAAAAGAACGGGCTTTGTAGGAAACGAACTTGTATGTGTTTCTTAAATTTCCTTCCATTTTATTTTCCTAGGCGGTGTCTGTTATTTTTTCTTGTCATTTATCTAAAGGCCCGTTTGATAAACATTTCAATTTTAGTTTTTAATTTTTTAGTTTTTTAGTTTTTTAGTTTTTTTTAATTTTTAATTTTTTTCTGATTTAGTTACACAACATTTTGATTTCATCCAATGACAGTTCTAAATGCAACGAACTATGAGATCATCGAGTTCGAACATCAAAAGAAAGGGCTTTGTAGGAAACGAACTTGTATGTGTTTCTTAAATTTCCTTCCATTTTTTTTTCCTAGGCGGTGTCTGTTATTTTTTCTTGTCATTTATGTTTTTGAATCGTTATATGTGGTTGTGTTGCCGTACCTACTTGTTTGTCATGTCTTGTACAGAAGGAATGTTATAAACAGAAGCTTGTTCTTAGAAATCCCGATCGCAAACACTTAACGGTGTGCATAAATTTGTTCTCATCCACCTATATATATATATATATATTTCCTTCGTGATTTTGATGGCTACATTTCACATTTTTTCTGTCTAACATTTTTAATGTGCATGTAAATTATCAGTGGAACGAGGCCTTTATTTTTGTTATGGGCCCATTTGAAGGACTAAGGTGTACAAGGACAGTCGTGGAAGACTGCATAGTTTCCAATATTTCTCCGGAAGCCATTATAAGTAGGATTAGAGGTGCGGGTCATAGGGCTGTTTACGGTCATCTGCGTTATGTCTCCGGTGACGGTTTCGAAGGCGAGGAATGATTTTGGAGCCGTTGCCTTCTTTCCTCTGTGAATTCTGTTATGTTGTTTTCCTGGATAAAACGAGAAATCATGTTTCAAGACCTGCATTCCGGGTCTGCCTACAAAGCTCAAGCAAGCAGCAAGCTATGTCATGTGTTGATGCTCAAACAATTTAGAGAGGCCCAAGCCAAGTGCTTCTATTTCATCATTTTTAATTTGACGATTACAAAAAGAAAAGAAAAAGAAAAATATATCATAGATTTGGACCCACCCACATGAAATATGATCCAGATTTATAAGCTACAATGGATCGTGTAGTTATCATTGCTCCTAATTTATAATTTGGTTTTGAACTTTTGATCAATAATAACATACAGGCTCGGTGTGAGTGTTTATACGGGAAATTTTCTCGATCCCAAATATATAGCTATACAAAATTCAGGCGCCAGCGAATGGTACGTGGATATCAGATTGTCATGTCGTAAAACATAAAAAATCTCTTTCTTGATAATATTTTGGTCGGAAATTACTTGAAATTGCTAGTTCAAAATTACCCTTTAGCTTGAACAGAATTACCAGTTTACCCCTTTTTATAGAATTGATGATTCAGCCCATTATTTTATGGGAAGGAAACTTTTTTTAAAAGAAAGCCACACGTTATGAAAAACTTGGGTTTCCATCCATAGAATAGAAGATTAACAAGTTCCTTACGTTATGTGCCAAGAGTTGAATATAGTGGCTCAAATTGGCTTCTCCAAATTAGTTAAGCCATTAACATTGACAAAAATGGTGATTACGATTTCCAACAACACAAAATGAATTGGAACTCTTTCAAATTATGTAATTCATTTTTAGTAAGAATATGCAAACATTATAAAATACCACGTCATTCATATAGTAACTTAGCAATCTCAAAAAGTTCACCTTGGACCTTTGCCTTTATCAAATAGCAAACTAGGGTCCGACCATAAGTACGTCGTCAATAGGTTAGTTATATTTTTTCAATCCTGATAATAAGTATATCGTCAATGTGTTAATACACCATTTTTCATCTAAAAAAAGGCTATGTCTTACAATAAATTCACTGTAGATGACCAAAATTGTTGTATATTTCTCGTTAGAATCTCCGATATACATATATAACAGATATCATAGTGTACATGGTTGTTTAGTGGTAGCCGAAAGAAAATTGCCTCCTAAAGGAGAAAAGGGTGATTCCGTAATTAAAAACAAGCTTCTGCCCAAACACATCGGTTTTCATTTGTTTTGTGCTTAAATAGCTCTTCTTATGATGTCGGTTTTTTGAGCCGAAAGCCAATGTTTGTGGAGCTCACGAAGACATTTCATTCTCTCTCTCCCAATCCAAGGACCCCATTTGACCAGACCAGTAAAATAAAAGCAGAAAAAAATAATTTCTACTGTCCGAAACGCACAGCAGCAAGCAACAAGCTAACTCAAAAACTTAGAGAGAGAGAGACAGAGACAGAGAAGCTTTCAAAGCTTTTTGCTTTTTCGTATATAAGCTTCCATACCTCCAATTTCGTAGAGAGAGAAAAAAAATTCGAAAAAGCTTCAGAAAAGGGCCAAAAAATTTCATCATCTGCTTTGTTCTCTTCCTATTATCGTCTTCTCCAGCTCGAAATTCAAATTCGTATCTCAAAATTGCCGTTGAAACTCCAAAGCTACCAGTCTGTTTCGCTCCGATCTGACTCGCCGAGTCAGTTCCTCTTGACTCGGTCCTGTATCGGATGACATAGCGGAGGAGATCGCTCTGTACAATCTATATGGTAACTTGAAGAAATATATGGAAATGATTGTTTTCTTTGTTTGGTTTGTTTAGTTGATTGTTTGACTCATTGGTTTAGCTTAGCTAAGTCCGATTATGCAAAGTTTTATTTGGATTTAGTCTTGGATTATAAAACTGTGAAGGTACTTATTAAAAGCTTGGGATTTGATTTTCTGGTTTTAAGTTTGTAGCTCAAAGTATGTTGCAATTGCAAAGGCTAAGAATATTTAATTTTTGAGTTGCCAAATATTATATAGCTTCCGATGAAAAATCAATTTGAAAATGTCGAATTGGATCAATATGAATAGGTAGTTATTACGGCCAAAAGAAAAACTTCTTATTGGATTCAGATGTTAGCGACGCATTGCGGTGTAAACAATAAACTTTTACTGGATAGTTTGATTGTGTTCTATGCGTATTCAGGTTATATGTGAAGTAGATATCGGATAGGGAATAATTTTCTTACCGAAAATAAAAGGTCCCATATAATTGATGTGGCATCGAAAATTTTGAAAGTAATGAGGCAATGTTGGTCATTTTAGTCAATTAATAAGGACTTGGTAGGCTTTGCTTTGCTAGAAGTAATTTTAATTGGCACGGAAACTTTCATGCATAATAGTTGTTCGCGGCCTCTCAATATGTGTTAGAAATTGAGCTCTTGGAAGCAGGTGTGGTTTCCGTGGGTGTGGCTTTGTAGTCAACACTAAGTCAAATATTGAAATGGAGGTGGAAGATGTTAGAGCGGTATCTGGGGCAATGTTGCTGTAAACTTATTGTTGGCAGTTTCTAGTTGTAGTCTAATTTCTTGTTTTAGTTTATTTTAGGTCAGTCTTTTGTGGGTTTGAAATCTGTCAACATTTTGTTGATTGATATTTTTTGAATAATTATTGATTTTAATTGCTTGACAATCATGGTATGCCTGAAGCACAACCATGCTGTGTAGTTAGATTTATGTTCAGGCCCTATTACATCTCTTCATGTTTTTTCAGGCCACCAGTATAAACTTTTGCTGATATTGCCTTTTAAAGAGTTGTATAGCCATTGAGTACATTGTTAGATTCAGATTTAGACCTACTTATTTCAAGATACTTTCTAGCAATTTTCAATGAAATAATTTTGACAGCTGTGCTGTTTATAGTATAATGTATTGTGTACTCACTCGTAATTCAATTCCTATCGTTCCTCATTTTATGATGATAAAGATTAGTTGTTGTTACTTAAACACTTCATTTCATTTCATAACATCCAAAATTTGAGAGATATAATTTTGTGTGATCCCGTTGATGAATGTTTTCTTTTACATTTGTATGCTCATTGTGGACGATAGTTTCTTGAGCTACAGTAACCTGTACGTTGCGTGACAGTGATAGTTTCTTGTATTCATTTTATCTATG